TACTTACTAACAACCTGTTTTGACATAATAATTCATAAGAAAAAGGCGAAAAACCTTCGCATTTATTAATTATTGTTAATTGATCGGAAGTTGGTTTGTTCTCCTTGAAAAGTAAAGTAATTGCCAATCAGTGACGATTATTACTTGGTTTATTGGTTACATTTTCAATTTTAATTTTTAAAAGTTTCATTTTCAATTTATTCAAGATTCATTCTTGATGTTTCCTTTTTACTTCCTTGTACGAAGTAAAAAGGAAGTATTGTAATCGCGAAATGTTTCAGGCAGCTTATTTCAACGAAAATATCCATTTTGACCGCTATCGAATGCAATTTAACGATGTTTTTGCGTGATATCTGTACGTAAGGACAGAATAAAAGACTCTTTTCCTCCAAAAAAAAATTATTAAAACTGCTTTAAAATCAATTCTGAAGAGAATTTTCGTGGCGTCTGTACGAATGTATGTAGTACATGCGTACGTACGTATCTCGCATAACTCAAAAACGAGTAGCCTCAGAACGTTGAAATTTTGTATATAGGACTGCTATAACATGTAGATGTGCACCTCGTATTTTGGTTGCCATCGGCCGCACCAAACGTATATAAATATATTTATATATATATCCACTCTGTTAGTCGGCTCAATGATCTCAGTTTTTTTACTGTTATATGTTTGTAAATTGTACATTTTTTGCTTTAAAAATGGTTGAATTATGTTGTTCTTATCTTCCGGTTAAGGTTTTTATACCTTTAGTAAATCTGTGTGCAATACGTTTTGAATTATCAACAATTTTAAAGTTATTTAAGTGCCGCTAAGCCTTTATTTTCATGGCGGCCATTGATTGTTTACATTTGAAACAGCAAACTAGTGGATTTGTTGCCAATCTAGAGAAACTTAGCTTCGCAACAACAAAGATAACGCCTTCATTTATTATTTAAATCATGCTTAATCCTTTCTGGAATTTTTTCGCGGAAATAAGCTTTTAAGATTTACTTCGTAATTTTTAATACAGATATTTTGAGTTTTTATGTATTTTTGCCTTGTCGCGAAGTGAGAACTGAATTAATTGAATGAAAAATACTCAATCGTCTGTGAAAAACTGTTTGTTTCTTGTTTTGTTTGCTTAATTTCTTTTATACATCCTTCTAGCTTTATTACAGTATTTGAATAGAACATGTGGCAACGATTAGATAATTCTATTCTTTAAATGATATAAATTTTGTGCATTATGAGTTATAATATGAACGAAATATAATACTGTTAAGTGAATCTAGCACCAGAATGTCGCTGTGGTAAACACATACTACAGTGAATTTTAAAGAATGCATTTATTCTATTGTGGTTTATGCGGTGTCGGCGAAGTAGGTTTAATTCAATCTAATAAGTTTAAATGAAGTGCAAGAAAAAATGCGTATAATTTAATATTCTGTACAAGGAAGTCATGTGGTGTACACATCAGATTAAAAAAAAAATGTTTCAAGATTCAGTTTTTAAATATGCTTATAAGTGACTTCATTTCAATAGAATTCTAACAGCCTTTTTCAAAGGAGATAACATACTAAAACTCCATCAGTAAATAAATTATATATATAATATATAAAGATAACATAACTTTCTTTTATCTCAAATTATGTATTTTATTTCTTTTGTATCAGAAAAGCATGAATAGATGACAAAAAACGTAGCTTTCAAATTCCTTTTTAATCAAAATCTTTTGTTTAAAATAATTGATTTTATACAGCCCTCGAAATAGTAGACGCTTTTCCTTTTTATAATGAAAGCAAGTAATTTTAAGTAACATAATTTGGATAAAAAATTGTTAAAATTAACATTTGTTAACATTTTTCTTAAAATTCTACACTTATTACAGTTAAACAAAACTGAGCAAGAACTCAACGTACGCGACACAAGACTTCATGTTACTTTGAGGCTTTCCTAGGGAATACATTGTGTGTACAAATAAATCACGTGCTCATTAAAATCTCATATTTGAATGCTGTATTAAAAGTCATATTGTCTACATATAATTAAATAAAGAGTCTGTCTGTGTGTGTGTGTCTTTCGTTCGCGCTGCGCGTAAGCTAACGGCTACGAAATTTGGTACATAGTGTAACAGCTTTAAATAATATTAAAATCTTGTAGATTAAATAATTTAAATAGAAACATTAAGGTATTTGTGAATGGCAAATTTGAACCAGATCGAGTGCCTCGTGCGACTCTCGCACGAAGAATGTAATTTTTTTTAAATGATTAGAATAGTTTTCTCTTTTGTTTGTATGTCGCCATTTTTAGTGTTAAAAAAGTTATGCTGTGTCCATCATTGGATGCTTCATTTCGCCAAAAGAAGCATCCCAGTCTAATTTATTTTGGAGGGCACCGACGAGACGAAAATCGTGCGTATTTTTATTTTATTAGTCATCATTGAACATAATATTAGTGTGATACAGATACATCGATACCAGAACATAATATTGTGATACTCCTGTTAATATTGAATTGCTTTATTTTATAGTCATTGAACGCAATATTAGTGACCAGATTTACTTCCTTAATTTTGAATTGCTTTATGTTATTAGTCATCAATGAACGCAATATTAGCGATAAGATTATAACTCCTGTGAATTGAATTGCCTTTTTATTAGTTCATCACTGAACGTAACTTCCTGTTGATATGAATTGTCTTATTTATTAGTCATCACTGAAATAATATTAGTGATATAGGTTATTACTTCTGTTAACACTGAACTGCCTTATTTTATTAGTTTATCACTTGAACGTAAAATTAGTGATACCTTTAATGCATTTGATAGAGCTCAAGGAAAAGAAAAATGGCTGAAGAGCAGATCTTGGAACCGATGAAGGAAGAAAATAAAGCAGAGAGATGTATTTGAGAAGAAGTTTAAATCACCAGAATTAAAACTAGGAAGATGTTCACGAAAATTAAAAAAATGATACAGAAATAATATTGAGAATAATTTTGCAATGCAGCGTTATAATCATCTTTCGGCTTGATTTAATATCAAAGCCGCTACTAATAGACGCAGAAAACAATTCTCGAAAGAAAGCAAATGAATATTATAAAAGGCACAGATGAACTGAGCAAAGGCTTTGCTGTGAATTATAGCCGAGTAACTGGTCCACCATGGAAGAGATCTAGTCGCCGTCAAGGGAAAAAAGGAAAAAAAGAAGACTAATTTGAACAATGTCCATTTTCTTCCTACTTAAATGTGGTGTAAAAATATTTGTTTAAAGCTTAAAATTTTCGGCCTGAAAATTTGGAAACTTGTGAGAGAAGTTATCTTTTCTCTTTAAGCATTTTGAGCAAGCCGAGCTATAAACTTCGAAATTTACAGAACTTTTCCTTCGGTAAAAGTCTCTCCGTTGAGAGAGAAGTTGTACAGCTTTAAATAATATTAAATCTGTTAGATTAAATATTTAAATAGATGAACATTAAGGTATTTGTGAATGGCAATATTTGAAACCAGACTCGAGTGCTCGTGCGACTCTCGCACGAGAATGTAATTTTTTTAAATGATAGAATATGTTTTCTCTTTTTTTGTATGTCGCCATTTTTTTAGTGTTAAATAAAAGTTATTGCTGTGTTCCATCATTGGAGTTGCTTCATTTCGCCAAAGAAGCATCACAATAGGTACATCTAGACAAGAGCCAGTGCACCTCGAAGCCATTTTTTCGAAATTCGAATTCGAATTTTTTTAATTTTATGTTTTGTGACGAAATCGCGTCATTTTGAGACATAATGGGCTATAGGAAAGCGAGATTTTACTCTATACGCTCCATTTTCACATCGTCATGAAACGTAGGCACTTAGCTATTTTACGAACTTAGAATAAATTTCGTGTTTCAATAAATCGATTGAATACAAAATTATTTAACAAAGTGAGCTTAACACCTTTTCAACGGGATTTTTTCTAAAAAAGTTTATTTTTAAAAATGTAGAGTTTATTTTTCTTTGATTTTTGGGCAAGTTAAACTATCATCCTTGCGACTGCTTTTACAAAAAAAATTTGGAAAAAGGATAATATTTTGTATTTTTAAAGAATTTTTTAAATGAAGCTTCCGAGTACACTTCTCACATCTCACATCTTTAAAAATGTGATTTTGGCAACAATTTTCCTGTCTTATTGTTGTTGATAGTTTTTTTGATGAAAGTCGCATCATTTTGAATAGTTTCATTCTTTTTAGAAATATGGGTTTGGCAACAATTTTCATCGTATTTCTTACGTCACTGTTTTTAAGAGATTGGCATATTTCATTGTCTTTATATATATATATATAATACATTTTTATTCATTTTTTTATAATGTTGTTCTGTAAAGTAAAATTCTGCGCGGAATTTTATGTTTTTTGAGTTGCTTTCACGTTATGTTTTGCTTATTTCACTGTCTGTAAGATATTGAAAAGTTTTGCATGATTTTTTTTCTTCAACGGAAAGTTAGTTAATTTTTTTATTAGGATAATTAATATTTGTATTAAGGGATATAGCTTATTTCATTGTAATTTTTTTTCTCTTGAAAAATATAAGATAAAATATCATTAATTATGCTTTGCTTTTCAGAATTTTTTGTTTTTTGTGTTCTTTTATGTTATTTATTGCTCATTTCACTGTTTTTAAGATATTGAAAAGTTTTGAGTGATTTTTTTTAGGAAACAAAGTTCTTAACCTCTTTTATACCATTTGAGTTCTTAAGATTTTGCGAAGGGAAGTTGGTTAATTTATTTGTTAGGATAATTAATATTTGTATTAAGGGATATTGCTTATTTCATTGTAATTTTGTTATACGTAATAACTTTTTTTATGAAGTTGTTCTGCAGAGTAAAATTCTACGCAGTTTTTAAATTTAACGTTTGGTGTTCCCTTCAGCCACTTTTCCGGTACATTTAAAAGCCAGACGAAGGTTGGCAGCGAAGCTGCTAATATGAAATATTTGTAAATAAATTCGATGTTTTCCATTTCTTTATTTGTTTTTTATTCCTTCCACAGCTACTTGTACACTGACCGTGTGACCTTCAAAGGTGACTATGAAGCTTTCGCCACTTATGTAGCTTCCCACCACTTTGAAATGGACAGTCTAAAAATGGAATGTGAAGATTACATATCATCCCTCGACATCCAACCGCAGAACGTTTGGAGCCGATTGGAGAATGCGAGCCGTTTGCTTATGGCGAAAATTGTGCGGAAATGCTTGACTTATATACAGCGAAACACGTTACGATGTTTGACGAATGATGCATTTATGTCAGCTAAGCCTGACTCAATTTTGAGGCTTCTCCAAATGGAAATATTGGAGGTCTCGGAAATCACACTTTTAGAATGGTTAATGTGCTGGGCTAAAAGGAACATTGGAACCGACCACAACCTGTATCTCAGAGAATTTTTGGCACCTTGTTTAATTCATATTCGTTTTAAAGCAATAACAGCGAAGGAATTTTGCCGCTTTACTAAAAACTATCCTCAATTATTGGATGAAAATGATGTGCTGAAAATACTGCAATATCTGGAACTGCCGCATGCAAATGAGCTGCCACAATGGTGCTGTAAACTTCCAAAAAGAAAACGGTGTTAAATGTGTGCCTTTAATATCCTGAAACATCTTTCGATGGCTGTGATCAAGGAGGTTAGAATAAATGGAGTAAAGCCTTCCCTCCCGCCTGTGCCCAGTGCAGTGAAAATGAAACCGTGAAATGTCACGGTATGACGTCACGACTTATCACGCATGCACCTTATAAGAGATAGACTAACCCAGTGGGCGGGGCGTGCGTCACCGACATGTCGGCAAGAAAGAGTAGGGATGATCTGGTTTACTTTAACACTGAAACCTATGGCGTTTGTATCACATAACTCTTTTTAATTATTAAATGGGATACGTCGCATAGTGATGAGATTATGAAAGCCACCGATTTTCCAAATAGTATTTCATATATCTTATTAAAGCACTTTTTACTGCATTTCGCGCATTTTTTTCACGCGTAATTCTTGTACAAACATCTTTACTGTGGTAGAACGGTAAAAACTCTAAGCACAAAATTTATGAACTTAATTTTGCGTAAAAATAAAGTAAAATTAAATAAGATTGATAGTACGTGATGCTTTGAAATAAATAAGGTAAAATTATACAATATCTGATAATTTTTTTTTTTTTTTAATTTAATGAACATTTTCAAGCAGTGATTTTTTCCAAACTATAATAACATTACGAAACGATCATATTTATTTGATTATATGATCATTAAATTATTAACATTAAAGTGGATTAGTTATTTTAATCATTTATAAATTTCGGAGCATAAAACTATAAATTTCGGAGCGTAATAAAGGGAAAGAAAAAAGATAAAATCTAGAAGCACTCAGATTTTATATTACGCCCCAAAGGAACCTTTTATTAAAGTTTTGTGTGTTACCTATATTTATTGAATATCATATTCTTCGCCCGTAAACAACATACATTTGGAAACAGCATATCTTTAGAATTTCGGCACTGGAGATAAAACTGTTTGAACTCGTTGAGTTTGTTAATGGAAAATTCGTTAAAGTTTTACAAAATACGAAATAGATTAAAAAAATTCGAAATTCGGCCGTCCAGATGCCCATGTTCGGGTGGAGGATTACATTATTCAAAATTTGATGGCTCTAGATACTGTCGTTTTTGTCACAGTGCGAAAAACATACATGTATTCATGCAGATTCTTCATTATTTAATTTCTTTACATATAATGCAGGGCGATAATATTTGGTAACAACAATTTGCAAGGAGACACGGACATTTATAGCAAAACAGCGCAAAATGCCGCTTCGAAACTAACAGCCTTTCTAGGCTACCGCTACTTTGGGCTAATAAATTAAATATTAACAGTAAATAAAAAAAATCTTATGCAGAACTAAAAATAAATTAAAAAATAATCACTATAAAATACAAGCAAAATTAATTATTAAGGTTAAATACAATTTTAATATTAGAATTAAATGTATAAAAGTTATTAAGGAGTCAAAAGTGTTTATCACTATGATGTATTATGAAATATAATTGAAATAAAATTCCTTTATAGAAATTATGCTATAATACTCATCTATAATTTTAAAAAAGCAGCACAATTTAGAAATTTAAACAAAACTTTCGAAAATTCGTTTTAAAATATTTTAGTATTTTTTACTTATTTACACCAATAAAAAGCATAAAAATTACAAGAGAAAATTGCTTGTTTGAAATTTTCTATAAGTTCAGATTTAAAATATTATTTTCTAAAAAGAAGTAGTTACAAATTTCCTTACAGCATAGGAAAAGCTAAAAAAATATCCAGTCCTGAAAGCATGCAATAGCTTTATAATTATTTGGAACGTTAATTATGCTTGATAAATATGCTAAATTTTTAAAAATCAATTTCAATTTCAAAAATAAAAATATGTACAAAATCTAATTTGTGAAATGAGGCGCTACAACCAGCTTTTTCTTGACAATAATACACGCTGCAATTGGCAACCAATGTTAAATTTCGGCAAGTCGTCCCTACTCCTCCGGATGTGATCAAGGTGACAGCCGGCAACACCTCAGACGAGGGAGAAAACCCGTTTGGGTTAGTCTATTTCTTATAAGGTCCATGAATGTCACGGTATGACGTCACGACTTATCATGGCCGCTACCCTAGGCGGACTTCTGGTTGGTGTTTACATTCTAATCGGTGCTCTCTACATGTTCTCTACATATTTATAAGTCTTCCGTTCTAATTTTAATACTTAAAATAAATGATTTTCTACTTAGTATACAGAAAAATGACAAGGATTACAAATAAATGTTTTGAATTTATTAAAATCTACATGAAAATGTGTAAACAGTAATTGTAAGACTAATGTATGCAGGGAATATCAATACAGCGGTGACAAAATCTCAGGAAAGATAGAGCACACCTACATGATGATAAATCACATAGCAATGGATGGTCGGAAACGCTTTCCTGGCGCGTTAGTGACGACAAAAAACGTAAAAAAGGAAGGACATACAGTGAGACAAAAGATGTTTTATTATGTTTAGTATACCAGAAATCTACAAATAAGAACAAAAACAAACAACGATCGTCATTAAAGAGAGGTGTTCGAAATAACGACCCCGGACCGTGATCTCCTTACATCTCCGCATGGAAGATCTGCGTCACGAATGGAAGATGCATGACGGTCCCGGTCGTAATTCCGAACACCTCTGATGATGAGCTCTTTGTCTCTTTATGTTGTGTTTTCTTTGTTTAATAAGCATGTTTTCTCACACCCGTTCGTGTCCTTTCATTCTGGACTTTTAAGTCGTCACTGTCGCGCTAGGAAAGTGTTTCCGACCATGTGATTTCCCATCGTCTAGGTGTACTCCGTCTCTCCTGAGAGTTTATCAGCGCTGTACTGATACACCCTGTATGGTTTCCAGACAAAAGCCCACTTCACGAAAGCACACGCGACAACAGCCCACAAAAAAAAAAAAAGCCCACTATGGTAACTGCCCCGGCACGACTGACACAGACCAGTGCAGCTGCGGTCACCTGGGTACTCCGGAGCATTACGTCACTACCTGCTCTCTGACCAGCGGGATGTACACTGCTCAAAAAAAAAAAAAAAAAAATGGGACAGTCCTATATCTCCCGATCTACTGGGCCGATTGACAAAATTCAAATTGCGTTCTTCATGTCTCAAAAGCGCGACTTAGGATATATATTAGATTTATATATAGCACTATTCTAACATAGGTATTTTGACACAAAATCGGACTTTTTCTGAAATAACATACCAATTTTTTTACATATTTCGATTCTACGACTCAAATTACGCCTAAATATGAAATTTTGTAAAATTTGGAGCGAAATTTACGGAGAAATTCACAAATTTATGTTGGCACTTTCTTGTCAGTTTGCGCCAAGAATACTTCACTTGGCGAACTTCTTAATATATAGCAACCTAGTTTCCTTAGGAAAAAAAGTCACCATCGTTCCTTTTTTCCAAATAATATTCTTTATATTATATTTTTAATTATAACTTATTATTTTAAGTAATTTTTTCTTTTTCGAATTTCATTTTAATTGTTTAAGTTGCACGTTTTTTTTTTTTTTTTTTTTTTTTTTTTTTTTTTTTCGAATAACTGTTTTAAAAAATTTATATTACCTATTCGAACTGCGTAAATAAAGGTGCAGCGTTCATTTATTTTTTTTTTTTTTTCAAATAGTTTTCTTATATATATATATTTTCGTCATAGTTATTATTTTAGGTATCATTTTTAAATTTTATTACTTTTATTTTCAATTGTTTGTGTTGCATTGTCTCTTCAGATAATTGTTTTAAAATTTTCTATTTATTCCTTCGAACTGTGCATTTTAAATATATTTATTAATATCAATTTTCCAGAATTTGATTTTATTTATTTGAACTGCGTTTTTTTCGGAAGAATACTTTGTAACCCAGACTACGATGCGTTTGAAAACTGCATACTATATTAAAGAGAAAATACAGTAAAGCACAGTTTTACACGCCTTTCAATGTTCCGTTCAGAAAAAATATATATAAATAAGAGAGATGTATACCCGGTATTTTAACTTAGGATGACTTGCATACACTGCTTTAAACAGTTTTATCATTGTGCCCATTGCTTTACACAATTTTATCCTACATTTTAATTTCTTAAAATGTTATTCATATTTTAATCAAATATTTTATTTTTGAAATCGCAAGAATCAAATATCATAAGATTGAAAAGTTTTAAATTTAAAAAAATACGAATACTAAATTTTACGAAAAAATTTATTTTTCTTCTCTGTTTCTTTAAGCATTCTGAAAGTATATTGAAAAGTATCCAACTTTTCGAAACATTTTGGTATTTCTGACAATCATTTTAAATAAAATTATCACCTTCCATTTCATAAAGGCCCACAAACGGCTGAGCGGTAAAGTTTCTGAACACTGGTAGTTCACTCCGGGGTTCGAACTCCGGTAAACGGGCTGGTTGCATGGGCGTTTTCGTGGATTTTCTCATGTGTAGCGCGTATGACAGCTGGTTTCCCTTAGAAAGTTCTTCACGAAGTATTTCGTCAGAGCCTTTATCAGTCTTTAGAGGCTAAACATTTTGAAGCTATGAGATGAAAGGAAAGACTGGTTTCATCAAAAGGTTTTGGTTTATTTTATTATGACAAAGCACACTACGGCTATCTGCCTAAGGGGAGGGATGCCTTCCTGGAGGACTTTCTAAGGGAAACTGGCTCGCATACACGTTACACATGGGGAAAACCACGAAAACGCCCATGCAGCCAGCCCGTTCGCGGGATTCGAAACTCGGACCGAACTACCAGTGTTCAGCGACTTTACCGCTCGACCGCTGTTTCATCAGGAAGGGAAAAAAACATCTTTAAGTGACATCCACATACATCACTGGATAAACTCCTGAATCTTCAAATAATTCGACTGAGGAAATCATGGGATTCACCATTTATGATACGATATGATGTTCTATAACGTAATTTACACAACCATATAGTTTAAAACCAGTCGCTCTTCACTTTAATCTGCAATGATATCGTTTTGTCTTTTCTGTTAACACAAGCTCAATTGATGGTATTTGCTGGTGCACACGTCCAACTGTTTCTCTTTGAACACCTAAGTTCTTTGAAGTATCCTGATAGTATATTCGAAAGCGCCCAACTTTTTGAACATCTTGGTACGTCTGACAGCCAAATTTCCCTGCAA